GTTTCTTCCCTGTTTTTGGCTGTTTTCCTGCGGTGGATAGCAGTTCATCCTAGATCTACTTGGTTCTTGGTGTGAAACACTTGGAAATCCAAGTGTTTCCTATCATTTTACCGTTGCAACCAAACTTCATTGTTGCGAAGAAATATATTGTCAATAAGCAACTTCTGAAATTTTCCTTTCCTTTAGAGGCATTTTTACAATGTTCCTGGTAATTATTGGTCTGCTATATGACATCAAATATCTTTGCAGGATGGATAAACTTGTATGTGAGCCAGTTGAGGGGAATGCATGGCATGCCGATCACATAGTGCCCGTCTTCAAAGGAGGGGGTAAGAATTACTTCAAGAAATGCATTATAGGACTTCAAAGATATTTTTCTATATTTTCGGGCTCTACAGTCTTTGAAGTAGTGGTGTTATTTTTCTAAGATAACTCATAAGCGGATTGAAGCTCAGTGAGCTAGTGAGTTAAATTTGAGCTAGTCTCAACTCAAATCTTTTGCTCATCAGTCCACTCTAAAAATATTATCATAAAATATACTTAGAATATGTTCAAATCAAAAGTTTTTGTTCAGAATTATTACAAATATTTATAAATTTATCCTTTTCTTGTGCATTAAAATTTACTTAAATTATATTAAAATCCCTTTCTTCTGCATTCATGCAATATACTTAAAATATTGTTAAAAATCAAAAGCTCATTGTTATTTCTTTTAATTTCTTTTACCTTTTATCTTGATATTGCAACTGTTTTGAATAGAAATTATATTTTGTTTCAAAATAAATGAGCAGACTTCCGAGTCGATTCAAACTCATAAATTTAAGCTTGAGTTAGAACTTGATAAATTAATCAAAATCAAGCTTAAAAGAAGGGTGGCTTGAGTTCAATTCTACTCATTTACACTCCTAATTTCACTCAAAAATTGGTGTGGCAGGTGAATGTAGATTAGAGAATATGAGGACACTTTGCGTGGCTTGTCATGCTGAGGTCACAAAATCTCAAAGGACTGAAAGGCATCAAGCAAGGAGAAGGGCAAAAGAACAACTCAAAATTGCCATGAAGGGGCTTGAACATGGAGGTGACACTAGACAAATAGAATTAAACTCTTCTGTAAGTATCATAACCATGGAGTTCAATGTCATCTCCTATAGTCTTGCCTGGTATGATTTAGGCTTTGTTTGGGATGGCTTTTTTACTGTTTTTTAAAGCAGCTTTTTAATAAAAAAAATTATTTTTTATACTAAAAAACTGCTTCAAGAAGTAGTAAAAAAGCCGTCCCAAATGAAGCCTTAGGTTCATTCTATATATCAAAACGGCTTTATTATCTTGGTCTGAATTTTTCATTCAGATTTCTAGAACGTTAAAAACTCGTTTACTCATGATGTGAATAAATTATGTTTGATGCCTGAAGGTTGATAGAGCCGTAGGAGCTGAAGCTGATGAAGATGCTTTTCTTGTACATGTTCCTGGAAGTGCTTATTCTGAAAGTTAGGAAATGGGCAAATGGCTGGAGTAGCAGTGAGAGCTGCATGTTCCTGCTTGTTACATGTATGATTTCTTGTAACACTGGCTGTAATTTTTTTTTGTTTAATTGAAAGGTTGAGGAAACCCCTTCTCATTTAATAGAAATGCAAAAAATAATAAAAATAGTGTGAGAGAATAAAAAGTTGATTAAAAAAAAAAGAAAATATCTTAGAGAAAAGATTTAGAAGCTTGCTAGGAAGGTTTAAAGCTCAATAAAATGATCAAAATGGTCCGTAGATTCTTTATAAAGGATCAAAATGGTTCCTGATTATATATTAAAGAATTATTTTGTCTCAAGTCTTTAAAAAGGAATCAGAATAGTCTCATTGTGATACTATTTGGTTCCTCTTTAAAGAGTTTGAGAGTCAAATTGATCATTTAATATAGTTAGGAATTATTATTTTTTTCTTTATTAATGAGTCTGAGGAACAATTTTGATCATTTTGTATTTAAAACTCATATTTTCTCAAAGATTTGGAAGTATTTTATTATTATAACTTGATTTCATGCAAAAATAAGCTTCAGCAAATGAGTTGAACCAGTTTTTTTTATACATTTTTTATGATATTAGAAAAGCATTTGTTCTTTTAATTCAAATTAGGCGAGAGGAAGGGGATTTCTTATCTATCTTTCAGAAAAATGTCTCTTCACGAAGAGAATATAAACTTGAAGGGATTACCACTTGAAAAGCCACTCTAGCTAATATTTGTTGAAGTCAATTGAGGCTTCATCTGAGGCTGCCATAGAAAAACTAGCGATATTATTCTATGAGAATATTAGACGTAGAGAACCGTCTGAATTTGTTGTTTTATTGTTTTTTATGTGATTTTGCAAAATAATAGTAAAAATGCAGAAAATATTTAATATTTATTAAATAATTGAATATTTGCTATGTTTTTATTGAGTATTTGTAAAAGCACGGTGTTAAAACACAGCAAAAAGGCATCAAAAATATATTCATAATTGAATATTTATTGTCATTTTATTGCCCTTTTGTAAAAGGTCAGTAAAAGCGCATGAAATTCGGACAGGTCTTTCTATTTGTTATCTACACAGAATAATTTCTCGTAGCATAGAGGTGTTTATATCTAAAATGTTTTGCTTTGGACTCTACAATGATTCAATCAAAATAAGTTTGTTTCAACTTAAAATGTACTTGATTTATGCACAAATGTGTGTTCTTCTGAAATTATAAATATTTTTAGATATCATATATTTTTTCTTGCATAAATATTTTTTAAAAAAATATTTAATTTCTCTTTTAAAATTTTAAGATGTAAGATTTTTTATTAAAATATTTTAAATTCATAGGTTTTGCTTCATTAAGAGAATTATTTGGGTTAATAATTGAATATATATTATAAGCAACATAACTATTTAATATTACTATGCTTGTTTATTAAAAAATTTGAGAACTTTTGAACAAACTATTTAAGGCTTTTAAATAATTGATCAGGTGTATGCGTTGACTATTTATTGATTTATTTAAAGGAATATTCTAATTTAAGTAGTTTTTGTTAATTTAAGTAAAATTATGATATAAATTTTTATATTTTATGCATTTTTAAATTTGTTTATATTTAAAAATATATATTGAACAGATAGAGTGGTATATTAAAATAATAATTTGAATATTAATACTCAATAGGAACAATACTAAACTGATAGACGATGGATTCATTAAAATATTTATTTTATTTTTAATCATCATTGACCAAAAAAAAATATTGAATACATATTCACACTTATAGCTAAATAATCAATGTATTGTTAACATAAAATTTATAAATTTATTTGTTATTAATAATAAAACTATTTATTTTAATTGTCAACAATTTATGTATGAATCCTTTTTTTTAAAAAATTTAAAAAAAAAAAAAACAAAAAAATAATTTTAAAAAACATTAAAAAGTTGCCCCAAACAAAGTCTTAAGTTTCATTTGGGATAACTTTCTTTCTGCTTTCCAATACAATTTTTTTTAAAAAAATTTTATATTAAAATCTATTTTATGTTTGGGGACTGGAAGGCCTTTCACTTATCTACGTTATATAATAGATTAATTAATTTATTAATCATTTTTGTACATTGTTTATACTTAATATTGTGAATGAGGTTCATTGATTACACTAATTAAAAATATTTTAATCTAAAAAGCAATATCTTAATTAAAAAAAATGAAAAAAATCGATCAACGAAGACAAATTTCACATAGCAAATTTATAGCTAATGGAACACTACAGCCAATACTCAAAAGAAAAATAATTCTGACGCAAAAGAAAAACACAAATGAAGAGAATAGGTGAAAGAAGCAGAACATCAGACTATTTTAAGGCTTTGTTTGAGACGGCTTCTTAAAGCAATTTTCAAAAAATTGCTTTAAGAAACGGTAAGAAAGTCGTCCCAAATGAAACTTAAAACTGCAAGAATTGATGATTGCTACAGTATTCTAACAAATTCTTGAAAAAAAGAAGAAGAAGAAAACACCCATAATATTACAATAATCTACCACATTTGAATGGATGCTTAACAATAATGCAACATTTTTAGCACTAAAATATGGAATAAAATACCATCTTTTGATCAATAGCCTGATACTACAGCTTCAATCACTATTGCTGCAAGTTTCTTCTGCTGAAAATTTGATCATAAAATCACACATCCACATTGGTTTTCCTTGGATTTTTTTGCTTCCTTCCTTTCTGTTCACAAACGAAAATTGAAATAAAAATTAACAATATATGATTGCAAGATAACAAAAACATAATCGGGCGAGCAACCGAGAGAGTAGAAGTTGATCTTTACTGATTTCTCGTTGGATCGAAGGTGGTCGAACCACAACATGCATAGTTGTAACACCTGAAAGATCACATATAGGGCTTCTGCACTCTGCCAATGTATTGTTGTTTTCCAATATCCTCCCAGCATTGATCAATTTCAGGTCATTTACAGTTCTTGGTTGGTTCTCCATTTCTGTTCATTAGATGCAGCTTTAGAGCCCTCACATGGAGAAGAAATAACCATTTCATAATGTTGATCAGTCTATAATGTTCATATTTTAACATAATATCTCATACTTAGACGAATATGGGGCTTAATAAGTCTTACATTACCTTATTTCAACAGCAATGTTCAATGAAATGGGTAAGTGTCTAAGGCTTTCTTTGGAACAGCTTTTTTACTGTTTTCTAAAACAATATTTTTGTATAAAAATGTTTTTGAATTAAAAACTTTTGTGCTAAAAAATTACTTTAGAAAGCAACAAAAAAGCTGTCCCAAATGAAACCTAATTCATTTCCAAAAGTCAGTTTATTGTGCTGCTTACAATCAATAACATTTTAGCTTTGTCTACATGCTAAAAGCTTACAGATAATATGTTACAATGCATTAGATGGAACTATTCAAATATTGTTGAAGGCCAGGATGATTAGGAGAAAAATTACTGCATGAGGGTAGCTTTTGGAAGAAGAAAAAAGAACAAAAACATCAGTAGATTCTTCATGATTCTTTGTATTAGTCTAATAGGAAAGGAAATAATCATTTCCCACTTCATAATTGTGTATTAGGAAAGGGTTCTATTAGGAGAATGCTATGTTGTTTCACTCAACATATGCGCGCATTTATTCGTTCTTGTTATGTATTCTTGCCCTACGCAACCAACTATAGCGCCCAATTTTGATCTGTCCTTCTATATTTTAACCCATCTTCATAATTTAAGTCCATGCTAGACCCTCTATTTCTCTCTCCTACGGTGCCTTACTTGTCTCTCCTCTTCCGGAGACGAAATCCTCCTCCATTTGTACTACCATCAAATTTAATGGTTCCAAACATCTCTTGCAATTGAGGGCTTTTGATTGCTTGTTGTTTCATGCAATAAGCTTCTTATTATGTTGCTCTTACTTGGTTCCTCAAAAGACTTAAATTGTCCATTGCTTCAATTGTCACGTTTCAAGACAGCAAAGAAAAATAGGGACCATCTTCTTCTAGCTAATATCAAGATGGATAATATTTTGGATCTATACTATCTATGGGAGCGAGTTATGGAGCGTAGGTTGCGGCGTGATACTAATGTTTCTCAAAATCAATTTGGATTCATGCCGAGTAGGTCTACTATGGAAGCCATACATTTATTGAGAGGTATGATGGAGAAATATAGAGAGAATAAGGAGGATCTACATATGATATTTATTGATTTAGAGAAAGCATATGATAAAGTTCCAGGAGAAGTGCTATGGAGAGTTCTTGAAAAGAAATGAGTTAATAATGCTTATATTTAAATCATTAAAGATATGTATGTAGGAGCTATTATTTGTGTTCAAACACAAGGTGGTTTGACCAAGTATTTTCCTATTTCGGTTGGATTGCATCAAGGATCAGCCTTAAGTCCATATTTTTGGCTTTAGTCATGGATGTTCTGACTAGACATTTGCAAGAGAATGTACCTTGGTGTATGCTTTTTGCTGATGATATTCTTCTTGTTGATAAGACTAGAGAGGGAGTTAAAGGTAAACTTGAATTATGGAGGTCAACCTTAGAGTCTAAAGGGTTTCGCTTGAGTACATCTAAAACTAAATATATGGAGTGTAATTTTAGTAGCAATAGACCTAGTGAGGGAATTGTGACTTTGGGCGATCAAGTCATTAATAAAAGTACACATTTTAGATATCTTGGTTCTATTGTTCAGAGTGATGGTGAAATAGATGGGGATATTCTCAGCAGAATTCAAGTTGGATGGTTGAAGTGGAGGAATGCATCGGGCTTATTGTGCGATAGAAAAGTCCCCTCAAACTTAAAGGGAAATTCTATAAGATGCTAGTGAGACATGCAATGCTTTATAGTGCCGAATGTTGGCCATTAAAAGAGAAGCATAATACTAAGTTAAGTGTTGCAGAGATGAGGATGCTTAAGTGGATGAGTGGCTTGACCCTTAAAAAATAGGATATGAAATGAGCATATACGTGAAAAGGTTGGAGTAGCTCCAGTGGAAGATAAGACTAGAGAGAGTCGCCTTAGATGGTTTGGTCACATTAAACGGATGCCTTCCGATGACCCGATAAGGAAAGTTGAGGTATTAGATTCGACTTATGTTAAGAAATGTAGAGATAGACCTAAAAAGACTTGGTTAGAAAATATTAGAAATGATCTTTCTTTACTAGATTTAAATAAAAATTTGACTTTTAACCAGACACAATGACAAAAAAATATTCATGTACCCGACCCTACATAGTGTGACAAAGGCTTGATGTTGTTGTTGTTGTACTATCTATTCATAATAAATGAGAATTTATCTCTTAACAAGACAAAAATGAAGAAAAATGATTCATGTAGCCGACCCACGTAATGGAATAAAGACATGATGTTATTGTTGTTGTACTCTCTATTCAGAATCTTTCTCTCCAACAAAACAACATGTTAATTCAAAAGCACAATAGTATATTGAAAAGAAACAAATGATCAAAAAGAAAAAAAAATAAAAAATACAGAGAGAGGAAGGAAAGAAATTAATTCATCTATTGTAAGACATGAGTGGGGAGGCTTTAATAGCAATGCAATTAATTTTATTGTGTCTAATCATCCTTGTTGCTTGTTTTCGACGAGTCAATTGTCATCAAGTCGAGCATTAATGTGGCCTAGTTGTTTATATAGTCTGAACTGAGTAGATCGTGGTCCATATCACTCATGGGGTTCCAAGTTACTCTCTTAGCAGCTAATGCCTGTTCAACCAAACAAATTGACCATAGCTTCACTGCTTTAGTCTCTTTTATACTCCATTTATGGACCAAATTGAATCTTGGATGATGGAAAAATTATCAGCCCACATTGACAGCCTTAGAATGAAAACAATTCTATTAGTTTATTCAAGCTACTTGTAAATAGTTATTTTATGGAATTTAGAACTAAAATTGATGACTGAAATCCATTTGTTTGTTGAGTACTAGCTTTCAAACAGCTAAACAGGAACTTTACATAGAATCCATGTGATTTCATCCCCCTTGGGTAATTAAGGAGCAGCGTGAGAGCGCCGGTCATCCTTCTCCAAGGTAAATCCTCCCTCCAATCTCCAATCAACCTATTATCACTTAACTAGACAGTAGGAATCCAGCATTATAGCTTTTGCACTCTAAAGAATTAGCAACTATTACAAATGTTCATCAAACCTCTCTGAATTCATATTTTCCTCCTAATAAAATTAAAACCACACTTAACAGCCAAAAAAAAAAAAAAAAAAAAAAACACTTAACAGCCAAAAAAAAAAAAAAAAATAGCAAAACTAATTATAGTAGCTGCTGGTAAACCTCATTCATTTGTCATCAATCAATTAGAAATTTGTTAAGTCCACAATCGATGTTACAATAAATAAACTTTCTTAGCAAAGAGAGGTGTATGATATTAAGAAACAACTTCTAACAATGAGAAGCAAAAGTATAAGAGGGGCAAGCAAAAGACACAAAAAGTTTCTTGAGCCGACTCTGCCTCAGAATCGTCAAAAGAAGAAGCAGAGGAGGAGGTAACAAACTTGTGTCAATGATAATCTTGATCAATCAGATCAAGATGAGATATGTCAACTCTTTTATGACGAATTGTTTATTATTTTTAAAAAAATTAAGAAGCTTAAAAAAATGCATGTCAGTCTTAATACTGAATTTTCTACTTTGCAGAAAGAGCATGCTAGTTTAATTACCGAGCACTCTACTTTAGTTAGCGATTATATGACTTATTAGATGAGTTTGATGCATTAAATAAGAAGCATATTGATCTATTTGATGCACACAATTTCTTGAAGATATCACATATTGAGCTAGAAAAAATATTTAAGGAATTAGAAGAACATGCATCTCAATTAGATAGCAGTGAACATACACTAAAGCTGGAAGTGGCAAGCTATGAAAATGCAAATGAATATTTAAGAGCAAAAATTATTGCACTTGAGAATAAAAAATCATCACTTTTAATAGCTCAGTGGCACAAGCCCTCAACACAGCATGTATCACATAAACCTAGGAAGATGCACCATTGCCCACATAGGTTAGTAACTCATTCCTTGGTGTTAGGTATTACTTTTGTGGCATGTTAGAACACATAGCCCGCACTTGCACTATCCACCATAGGACACATCTAGTGTGGAGGTCTAAATTACATTCATCACAGCATAACATGTATGCAGCTCACTCATTCAAGCATAAGGTGGAACACAAACTCACTTGGGCTCCCAAATCTAACCTTTGAATGGCATTGTAGGGGTGCTCTCACAAAAGACCTAATGAGAGCATGTGGTACCTAGACAGTGGTTGCTCGAGCCATATGACTGGTGATGTGAAGCAGTTCATCACACTGGAGGCTAGGTCAAGAGGCAAAGTGAGATTAGGAGACAACACCACTGGGAAAATAATGGGCTCATGTATAATTGGAAACTCTAAACATCTTATAATTAAAAATGCTTAGTCTAAAATTAGCATTTCAAAACAACTGATTATAAATTATTGAATTTTCTAAAAGAGAATAGGGCTTTTTAACAGTAAGATTTAGACTTTGTTTGAGACAGCTTCATTACTGGCTTACTGCTTCTTAAAGTAGCTTTTTAGTACAAAAATTATTACAAACCTGCTTAAATCAATAAGAAAGTTGTCTCAAACAAAGCCTTAGATAGGGTTTAGCTTAAACTTTGTGAAACTTCTTTTTATGTCATATAAATCCTACTGCCTTTGTAAGTATAATTTTCCTCCCGCTTTAAGATATACCCCGGCCCAGATTTAAAAAATCCAGGAAGAAATAGGATTTACGAGATTTACACAATTTCTCTTCATTGTATTTCTTCTTCTCTTTCATAGATCCTGCTTGAATTAAAAGCAAAACAACCCTTTAATCTAGAAGCAAAAAAATACAGTAATGAAATTGTGAAAACCTTTGGGCCATTCAGCGATAATGCTTTCCTTCAAAGTGGTCACAGTGGAAGCTGTTGAATAGTTCTTGGGACCAATATCTGATCCATCAGGCAATCTGAACCTGATTTCTAATTGCTCCTGAACTCCAGACATACTGAAAGATCACAAAGAAAGTCCTTTTTCAGATTAAAATAATACAATCTTCCAAGAACAGAAAGCTCTACTGATTTTCCTGTACGAAAAACACCAAACCTTCATTTGCTTGAAAGAAAAGAATCAAAGAAAAAAAAAATCTACCTGATATCAAGCTGGATCTGGATGTCCACCAAAATAGCAGAAAAACATAGCAAGATAAGATTTTGATGTGGTTCTCTTCCCCTCGAAACTGTTTCAGGATCAGCAATACTTTGCTGCTAAGAAATTCCTAAACGGAAGAAAAATAAAACAAAAAGCCAGACAGCTTGGCCTGGAACACTATCGCTTAAGGCGAGCTCTGATCAGCGATAGGGCTCTTGCTAAAGAGGGGAGAAAGTGAAAAGGCGGCAGCTTTAACGAAGAATAATATTGCATGTGGAGAGAGAAAAAGAGAGGAAGGGGAGGAAGAAGACGAGATGAATAAAAACTTCAGATTCTAACTCTGAGAAATTTGCGCAGTAAGCAGATGCCTCTACTCATTCTCGACTCCATAGTCCATTCCATGTCAAGCTCCTAAAACAATGGAAATAAATTAAATATACAAATATCATAGAATTCTTATATGTTTATTAAAATAAAACTTTAACCAATCATGCTTAGTTTGGTTGGTGGGCATACTCGTTTGGGAACCCCCCATCCCGAATTCTATTTCCTCAGGCGGCAGTCGTCCCTCTAGGGGGAACCCAATAAGTGCTGGCCACGAGTAGCAAGGGTGGATCTCTCGTCTAGGTAAGCCGAGGAGACTAGTGGACATCGCCAAGCCCGTCACAAGCTGACGTGGCAGCGGGCCGATACTCCCCGTTCCAAAAAAAAATAATTCTGAATGAATCTCAAATTATATTGCATTTATTTATTAAACATGTCAAAAAAATATATACAAATTTTATATTATATGTACCAATGTAATATTTTTAGGAACTCTTGCTTCTTGACTTCATTCATGTAATAAGGGCTTATTTATATATTTTTAGGAGTGACATATCCGTAAATATGAAAAGAATCATGAGCAAATTCAAAGCATTCTATCAAATGGCATGTATTGATTCACTCAATCATAGATTATTTTTTTAACATTTAGAAGCCTAAATTATATTAGAATTAGGTGATCTTAAGCCCTTTGGATATGTCTCATCGAGCCGCTTGATTCGATTATAAGAATAACATATTTGGAGATCATTTGGTTATATAATTTATGCTTTGAAACTTTTAACTATATTTTGGATCCTTGATTTGGGCTCAATTGTTTTTGGATCAGATCAATCTTAGTGTTGTTGGATTCGTTTCTTTGAGACATTTAGCTTGATTATAAAATCATTGAAATTGGAGTTCATAAGGTCTTTAATTTAAGTTTGATATATTTCCAAGTGAACTTTACCTCAAAATTCATGCTCGATAATGATAATTTTTGGTGTATATATTGTTAACGTATTCTATGAGACGAGAGGGCTCATCATACCGCTGAAATCATTACCTCAACTCCTGACACCTGAGCAGTCGGCGGCACCTCTGCTCCAGCAACCAACGACCCAACGGTCTTTGTCATCTTCTTCATATGAACTCTATATAACACAGAATGTATTGGGAAGCTGTTTGAGCAATGCATTATGTTTTTCCCTGATATCTCTTTCTTTCATCTCTGCATCTTTCTTCTCTAATAGTGCAGGATAACTATCATGGTATCAGAGCGGTAAACCTGGGGTTTCCGCGCTTCTCAGCAACAATGGCGGAACAGGACTCTTCCACTCAATCCAGATCTACTTCTACGCTGTCGTCAACTATGGCCGCGACAGTTATACCGCCCGCTTTGAAATTTCTGATGACCAATCTCAAATCCATTGTTCACACTCATCTCACCATTGACAATTATCCAATCTGGAGACTTCAGATTTATCAAGCCTTTACAGCAAATGGCTTTGCTGACTATATCACTGGCTCTCTACCTTGCCCAGCAGACACCAATGACGCTGACTACAAATTCTGGAGATTAGTTGATCAGAATCTTGTTTCTGCCTTGTTCTCCACCATTTCCGCGTCGGTTCTACCTTACATTCTGCATCTGAAAACCTCTAATGAAATATGGACTGCACTAGAAATGCGTCTACAGCCTGTGAACAGATCAAGAGTGCTGCAGCTCAAAAATGAACTACACAATGTGCAAATGAAAGACCAGTCAATCTCTCAGTACTTGGCCAAGATCAAATCTCTCGTGGATAATATAGCCGCTGCTGGAAGCAAAATCGAAACCGAAGATATTATACTCTATACGCTTAAAGGATTACCCGCTTCATACAACCCATTCAAAGCTGCCATCAGAATTTCACCGCTGCCCATAACTCTTGAATCCCTGTATTCGCTACTAAGTAGTGAAGAAATAAATCTTCAAAATGAACTTCAACAGGATCTTGCTCCTCCGTCGGAACCTCAGGCTCTATATACAGCCCGAGGAAGAGGTCGCAGCACCAGTTACAGAGGAAGCAGAGGCAGAGGAGCACCCTTCAGTCCCAGCAATCTCTCATCCAGACCTCCAGCCAACACACCCAGATCCTCGGAGCGACCTACCTGTCAAATGTGCGGGAAAAATGGCCATCTCGCCTCCGTCTGCTGGCACAGATTTAACTCGAATTATACAGCTTCCTCTGCAAACAATCGTGCTCTCCTCACTCAGACACCGACGGCTACCACTTCTGAGTGGGTACTCGACTCAGGTGCGTCAACACACCTGACGCCAGATCTCGCCAACCTGCAGTATTCAACACCATACAATGGACCAGACACTATCTCTACAGCAAGTGGTTCTTCCCTCCCCATTCATCACTCAGGTGCCGGTCTCTTACCACTTCCAGACACCACCCGTAAGCTCAAACTTCACAATCTACTTCATGTTCCTTCTTTAGCTCACAATTTATTATCCATTTCCAAACTAACCCAAGACAATAACTGCTCTATCTTATTTGATTCCACTGGCTTCATACTTAAGGATCTTCAGGACAACAAAACCCTCCTTCATGGCCGTAATCGTGAAGGAATCTATCCCATCCAGCTTACCACTTCTGCCTCAGCTCCAGCACTCTCAGCCACCCGCAACTTCACAGCCCTATGGCATGCTCGTTTGGGTCATCCACATTTGCGATCGATGGCTCATCTATCTAGTCTTTTACCTCATTTCAGCTCTAGGAATTTAGATTTCTTATGCACCTCATGTAAAGTGGCTAAAAGCCATAAGTTACCTTTCCCTAAACATGTATCCAATGTAACTCTGCCCTTCAATTTAATACATACAGATGTTTGGGGTCCCTCACCCATTCCCTCTCTCTCTGGTTTTCGATATTTTATAATTTTCATTGATGACTACTCACATTTCTGTTGGCTATATCTCATGCATACCAAAAACGAAGCTAACATTAAATTTCAACAGTTTTTTAACTTAATTCGCAATCAATTCAACACCACTATTAAAACTCTACGCTCGGACGGTGGCGGCGAGTACACTGGTCAAGCTCTTCGAACATTTCTCCTCACCAACGGAATTCATCACGAATTATGTTGCCCATACACCCCGGAACAAAACGGAGTCTCTGAAAGAAAACATCGACACCTTTTAGAGACCACTCGCACTCTACTTCATGCTTCTTCCATGCCGTCCATGTTCTGGGCCGAAGCATTACAAACCTCCAACTACCTCATTAACCGGCTTCCCACCTCATCTCTCAATGGCAAAATTCCCTATCAACTCCTACATCACAAACCTCCATCCTACAATCATCTTCGAGTTTTCGGCTGTCTCTGTTTTCCCTGGTTAAAGCCATACACCTCTACCAAGCTTGAACCAAGATCTCGTCCCTGCCTCTTTCTCGGATACTCCAGCTCTCACAAAGGGTTTCGATGCTATGATCTTCACACTAAGAAACTCTACATCTCTCGGCACGTCACCTTCCATGAATCTCAATTTCCCTGTACAGCCACCGTTCCCACTTCCCCACCATCTCCATCACCCGACATTCCTCCTCTTCTTCTTGTTCCCACCTCAGCAAATCAACAAACACCACCCATTACTCCAACCAACATTCAACCTTCCCCTCCTGCTCACTCAATCCCAACTTCACTTCCCTCCACAATCAACAATCCCTCATCTCTTCCTCTTCCCCCTTCTATATCAGATCCTCCCCCTCCCGAGCATACGCATCCAATGATTACCCGTCTTCAATCCGGCCACCTCAAACCCAGGAAAGTCTTCGACTTACTTGCTGTAACTGATAGCTGCTCCACTCCATCCTCATATACTGCAGCAGCTGCATTGCCTCACTGGCGTCAAGCCATGTCAGCAGAGTTCATGGCTCTTCAGAAACAAGGTACCTGGTACCTCACTCCGCCACCCAAAGACATACCCGTGCTTGGCTGTCGATGGACCTACAAAACCAAGCTTCATCCTGATGGATCTATAGCCCGATACAAAGCCCGGTTAGTCGCTCAAGGCTTCAAACAGCAGCATGGCATCAACTACCACCAGACCTTTAGTCCAGTCGCAAAGATGCCGACGATCCGAGTTCTGCTTATTATGTCACTCCAACGAGGTTGGCCCCTCTATCAATTAGACATCAACAATGCTTTCCTCCATGGAGATCTTCAAGAGGATGTCTACATGTACCAACCTCAAGGCTTCATAGATTCGAAATTTCCCCATCACGTCTGTAAATTAAAAAAAGCAATCTACGGACTCAAGCAGGCTCCTCGTCAGTGGTTTCACAAACTGACCTCATTTCTCATTGCTTTTGGTTTTCAATTCAGTAAAGCGGATCCCTCCATGCTGTGCTACAACAATAATGGGGCTCAATTATATCTGCTGGCGTATGTAGATGATATTCTCCTCTCGGGCAACCAACCAGCACTCATACAGCGCCTACTTTCTCAACTCAAACACACATTTTCTCTTAAACAAATGTCAAATGTCGAGCTCTTCCTTGGCATTCAAATACAACACACAGCTACCGGGCTGTTCCTTCATCAGACACATTACGCCCGAGACATCATTCATTCTGCTGGCATGGATTCTTCAAAACCAGTAAACACTCCTATCTCTCCTAGAGACTCAAAAGCTCCTTTGAACAATCAACTGTTCGACAATGCCACTCTCTACCGGCAGCTAGCAGGATCTCTCCAATATCTGACTGTGACTCGACCTGACATAGCCTATGCTACAAATGTCATCTGCCAACATATGCACTCTCCGACTGTCACAGATTTCAAACGCCTAAAACGGCTTCTGCGCTATGTTAAAGGCACCCAAAACTACGGCATACCGCTCACTTCAGGCCCACCGATTCTCACCACATTTGCTGATGCTGACTGGGCGGCTAGTCAGCTGGATCGCAAATCTGTTACAGGATTCTGCTCCTTTCTCGGACCCAACCTGATCTCCTGGAGTGCCAAGAAACAATCTACTGTAGCCAAATCGTCAACTGAAGCAGAATACCGGGCGCTGGCGGCAGCCACTTCAGATGTCATATGGCTTCGTCGTCTTCTTCATGATTTCCAGCTCACACAGGATCAACCAACCGAAATCTTCTGTGACAATGTAAGTGCCATTGCTCTCGCCAACAACCCCGTCTTTCACGCCCGGACCAAACACATAGAGATTGATCACCATTTCATCAGTGATCACATAAATCGCAAGGCAATCACAGTCTCTCACATTGCCTCGATCGATCAACCGGCTGACATTCTCACAAAGCCACTGACCGGACACAGATTCTCTGCTCTTCGATCCAAATTGACCGTCACGAAGCTTGCCGATCAATTTGAGGGGGGATGTTAACGTACTCCATGAAATGAGAGGGCTCATCATACCGCAGAAATCATTACCTCAACTCCTTACACCTGAGCAGTCGGCGGCACCTCTGCTCCAGCAACCAACGACCCAACGGTCTTTGTCATCTTCTCCATATGAACTCTATATAACACAGAATGTATTGGGAAGCTGTCGAGCAATGCATTATGTTTTTCCCTGATATCTCTTTCTTTCATCTCTGCATCTTTCTTCTCTAATAGTGCAGGATATCTATCATGTTATACAATTGGAGGTATCAAAAAAAGGATATATTTTTTAATATTTTTATGCAAAGTTATGGAAAAATCAGAACATTCAGAACAACATAACTATTTTCTTTTTCTCTTCCATATATGAAAGATAATCTCATAAACTTGCAAAGCATTCAAACTGCATAAACTTAAGCCAATACAAACAAACCATTTCCTGACTCAGTAAGGAAAAGAAGAAAAACAAAAACAGACTCAGAAAACACAAACTCCTTCATAGAACTTCAGCTAGCAGAAGCAACTCTTCTCAGGAAACAAAGCTTATTGGAATATTCAGTTCAGAAAGTGATAGCAGCAATGATATTTTTCCTCTCTGCAAAACCAAAACAAAAAAGCAGAAGAATTTAAAGCAAGAACTGAAGAACCAAGCAGTTGATCTGAAACATGAAAGAAATGAGGAAACTTACAGTAGTAAGGGACAATCTTCCACCTCTGATTCTTCCCTTTAAGCCACTCCCAAAGCACAACTGTGGTTCCATCATGAACGCCACCATGATCCTTATCGCCATGGAAGGCATCAAAATTAAGCCTTATATTATTCACCATTCTGATGCAGCGATAGCCCTCTCCGGTATCATGGCTTTCCGTCCACAGAATCGACTCATCCATGAATTCAGGATTGAATGGTATCAGACGAACCTAAATCAACAAATTAATAGAAATAATTAGTTCTTAATACCTTTCCATTTTCTAACGAGTTAAACATATAAAAACTTACAGGGTGTTTTGGGCCAAGAGAGTGCTTGATGGCCAAACCAGTAACTTTGTTAACCAGCGCAAAGCCAGGGAGACCTTCTTCATCCTTCACCTGGTTGGCCCAGCGGAAATCTTTGTACCAGTGCTGCAAGATTGGATTTTTATTGAGAAAGTTGAGATCTTGAATAGAAAAAAGGGAAGATGGAATGAAAAAAGCGGCAGCTTGATGAGAAAGTGAGTGCCTGGTTTTCATCACGGGGATTCGTAGGAACAAGGATGACGGTGCCTTCGCGTACTGAGAGGGAGTAGTTCTCATCGGCTTTGGTGTAGATTCTAACGGAGGGGTTGTGTACCTCGCCGGCGTAGTGGCCGGCGGGAGATGGATGGTGCTGATACGCCGGCTGCGGTTGATACCCTGGCTGTGGATGATACCCTGGTTGAGGACGATAGCCTGGCTGCGGCTGATACCCTGGCTGTGAAGGGTACGTCGACGATTGGGGTGGGTACGACGATTGGGGAGGGTAAGATGACTGCGGAGGGTACGTAGACGATTGGGGAGGGTAAGATGACTGCGGAGGGTACGCCGACGGTTGCGAAGGATACGACGACTGTGGAGGGTAAGTTGACTGCGCAAGGTGCGCCGGCGGCGGTGACTCCTGTCGATGATGGTCATTGTGTTTGTCTTTATGGCGGAAGAAACTCATGGTGGATGCTTTGTTATTGCAATTCAAACGGTTTTGATAACTAAAAATGGTGCAAAGGTGGGGTTTTTATAGGTGGAAAGAAAGGAGTTTGGTCTACTAAGTGAGTAGCTCCTTTGGAGTTTGAATTTAAATGATAAAAAAAAAATATTGAATTTATGTTGGCCCTATTAAATTTTTTGGATTGGATTAAGATTTGAAGACTTGAATCAATTAAATTTCAAATTAAGTTACAGATTGATTTGAACATTTTAAATTTACTCAGAATTAATCTGATTACTACAAAAGATCCGATTAACTTGGTCTGCTTTGGGTTAAATGGGTCATGTTTGTGTTAAATAGGTCATGTTTAGATTAATTGAGTCGTATTAATCCAAAAAATTACGTTATCTATGTTATAATCGATTAAATGAATCAGTTTAACGTAGCTCATCATGACCTGTTGGTTGAGAGCTTAAGCTATCTACTAAGATTGCTTGAGTTCAACTATTTGTGCATGCGATATATGTGTGTGATTTTGTCTTAATTGACCTAAATGACCAAAAAAATTTGGCTCAGGTAGGTTTCGATGATCAAATATTTTGACTCATATAATAAACAAGTTATGATCAATTTCAGGTTAGACTCAAATCATTTTTTGTGGCAATTTTGAATTGGTAAAGAAAAAGATAATGAAATATGATGAAGTTTTTGGTTATCTAACTTCTTTGATAATTGGGAATTTTAATTTCTTTCAAAGGGCATAAGCTTGATGAAGCATAAAAAGTTTGAAGTTCAAGAATTCAAATATTAAAATTTGAATAGGGAGTTAAGCCATGATAATATAATTAATAATAATAATAATTAATTAATATAATAAAAATTATATGCAAATAAAAGTATAAATAATTTTTCATTTCCAAAAAATATAAATTATATCCGATTCAATTGTCAATTATTCGTCCATCAGTTCAATGGTTCTTTATTGATTTTTTTATCCACTTAATTTTTTTTAACATATTTAAGTCTTTAAACTTCATTTTAACCAATTTTTATCATAAGTGGAAAGGGTTTAATATGGTAGGTCCTTATATCTACTAATAATGATCATTAAATAATTTTCTTGTGTTTCTATCAAATATATCCTTAAATAATTTTCTTCAATTAAAAGTACTAATCATAAATTTTGCACAATCATTTCTTGAGCAAAAACATTCAAAGAAATCTTCATTGAACTTGTTAGGCTATAAATGAGCAAGTTACAATAACTTACCATTTGGCAACTTTGAAATTTTAGAGCTAATAAGAACAATTTAGAAAGTGTATGGCTAAGATTTTTAATCAATTTTGCTCCTCTCCTTGAAACAAATAATCTATGAAATTAAGGTGTTTTTAGTTTGTCAATTTGCTTCCACTTATATTTTTATTTATCATGAGACCAATTCAATGATGTCATTGTAATTTTCACATTGTTTTGAACTATTTGACAAAGTCATTCCATATGCACATTTCTTCCAAATAATAGGCCACATGCATCAATTTGATCAAAATTTCCTTTATATTTTTTTTTTAATGATTATAATTTCAAGAAAACCATATAAATTTCATTTTATTATTAAGAAAAACAAAAAAAATGTATTTTATGATAGAAATATTGCATGTATTTGTTGGTCTATTGGCGAAGTCAATCATAACATTTTTTTGTCATTCTTTTTTTTTTTATTTTTTTTGAAAGAAATTAATAAAAAAAAAAACAAATGTTAAAAATGTCTGTTATTTTGTTTCTTCTAAGTTTGTAATAAAAATTAAAATTTGGAGGAATGTATTTTCATATGAGAAAATTTTATAATTTCATATATGTATTTGATGTATTTTGTGTGCATATTTATTATTATGGTATTTGAGCTTTTTTTAATGAAATGATAAATTGTAATCAAATTAGAGAAATAATATTATATTTGTATTTTTTTTTAATTTGAATAAGATATGTTTTAAGATATATATTTGAATCATTACTCCTTCAAAAAAATTATTATGAAAAGAAATTTTCTCAATCAAATCTAATGGAATACACTATTACATAGAAAAAAATGTAATGCCCATAATAATTTTTAAAAATTATATATATTTTTTCATAACAAACATATATTTTTGATTTAAATATTATATATGATTTATATCTTAAATCAACAATCAACTACTTAATTTGATTTAAAAATATATAAAATTGAAGACCAATTCTATTGAAATTCAAGTTTCCAATGACCTCTGTATAACAAATGGCATGATATATAATTTGGTCAAAATAATTGGCAAAAATGACCTTTTCTAATTGGCAAAAATGACCATTTCAAATTAAGGTGATCTACCTTGTGATAGGTAATTTGGTCAAAATAGTAATTATTATTATCACTCAAATTTCAAGCATCCAAATAGTGAAAGGGGAGATGGTTTTAAAATTTTTTAAAAAAAAAAAGATGCCTATTTTTTATACAATTTCTTAAACAAGTAGGAAAAAATCATAACACATTTAATAAAAAAAATATATAATTTGATATTTTTAAATCAATACTCTTTTTTTTCAATAATTTTGGGTTATATTATACCAAAATCTCACATTTTTTTAATAGTTGAAAAAATAAAATAAAAAATAATCAAACACATTCTTATATTTTTTTACACTTTATTACAACCAAATAACATGCTTATATGTCGTAGCGGTGGAAACATCAAGTTTTTAGTAGTGCTACTTGGTAAGATAAACTGATTAATTAGGGTAAAACATATCGATTGACCAAGAATAATAATATGCCGGCCTAGTCTCTTCACTATCAAAAAATAGGATTTTCGCAGCACAATTTTTGACCTATCCTGGCGGTTATATCCGCTACTATTTTCATTGCAGCAGCTTCAAAACCACTACATTCCCGCTGTGTTTGCAATGCGCTGCAATGACATTCCGCAGCGGTTCACTAACACCCTAGGTTAGGGGACAAACCGATCGCGAGCAGGGAGAACCGGAGGAGCTGGACACGAGCGAACGACCAGACTTTGGTCTTTGACGCCGACGACCGGACGATCGGACTTCGCTCTTTGATGCTGATGACCGATCGGATATCGTCCATAGGGGAAGGTAGCGAACGCACGGAGGCACGGTGGAGAAGGGGATGGGATCGAAAGTGAAAACGAGTTGCGTTCCAACTAGGTTAAGAAGTTAAAATTGCCGCTTGTTGTATCGGTTAAAACCGCTGCTAGTTTTAACGGTTATAACCACTTCTAATACCCGATTTTGCCAGTGATTTTCAAACCGCCCATAATAAGTGCTGCAAAATACCACGTTTTTTGGTTGTGCTTCATGCATGACCATATATTAGAAAAAAAAATAAAAATGGGTGAAGTTTAACCTAAAAACACCTATAAAACAAGAAAAAATAATTTAAAAAATAAAATAAATATATATGCTCCATTTGTCACACAATAAGTAATTTCATGTCGTTGCTAGGGAGTAAGCATCTTAAGCAGACTTGTGAGTTGGCTCGAGCTTGACTCGTGAATTGAGTTTGATGAGCTAATTAGTCAAGTTTGAGCCTGCCCCAACTCAACTGGTTATTTTGCAAGATGAGTCGTTAAAATAAAATTAATATAAAATATATTTAAAATATATTAGCATTTAGAAAATTTAACAGAAAAATTATTAAAAATATTTAAAAATTATATCTTATTTCATCATAGCAAGTGATTTCTTTTTCTTTTTTTTTTTAATATTCTTTTTAACCATTTTATTATAACAATTAATTGATCGAATCAAAATCATTTTTTTTTCTTTTTTATAATAAAGGTGCGACTCATGCTGACTAGAACTTGCAGAATAAAGCTTGAGCTGAAGCTCGAGTTCAAATTCTATTAATTAATCAAACTCAAGCTCAAACTAGAATCACTTGAGCTCAACTCGACTTGTTTACAACCTATGCCGACATTGCCACTACATTTCTTCTTTTACATGCAAATCTAGTTCTAGCGGAATATAGAAAAAAATTCCATCAAAAAATGATTAAATTTTTTTACTATGATGAATTTTTATAATTACTATTTTCTTTTAAAATGAATATAAAATTAATTTAAATGGTTAGTTATTTATATAACATTCATCTTAAAATACATTCAATACTTATGAGACTCATCATAATCAAATTTTAATCAAGATTTATTAAAGTAATGCAATACAGAATTTGAATGATTTGTAAAGGTTTCATAATTAATCTTAATAGGATTATCAAAATTTCTTACAGAATTTGATATTTCTCTCTTTTGTGATAGTCAAAGTTGGACTTCTACTCTTACAGAAAATATATACAAGTAATATTATCATTACATACGCAACATACTTAAAAGTTGATGATGCCCCACAATTCATCGTAACAAAAGTATTGTGAAAATGATATATACTCATAACGAAATTATTACATGTGGTTATCGGACGTCGTCTGGAGGCTATCAGGACCCACCACGTCACCAATTCATTGTGAATCAGGTGACGTGACACGTCCTGATTGGTCTCCGGACTGTCCGATGACCGCACGTAATAATTTCTCCTGTTGACAAGCCGAGTTTTTGTGATGAGTTGTGGAAAGAAGTTGGTGTGGAATCCGGCGGAATCTCCTTCACGAACACCTGCAACTGAAGACCTGCTGCAAGAACTCAGCAATGAAACAGTGAAAACACTGAAAATGGTTTTTGGATAGATGATAAAAACTGCCTTTCTTACAGGGAGTATAGACTATATTAGCTGTATAATGCAAATGGCAATTCTGTAATAACTAAGATAAAAGCAAATACTAATGATAGTGTAATTAGGCAGGGAGGTGGAGGCTGCAAAATGATTCCTCACGGTAGTGGCCACGCTGGCAAACCGTTGCTAGAATGTTCCCCTGCCTCAAGCTGCATTATTCGTTATCTGGTACCACATCAAAAGTGTTTTTACATAACCAATAAATTCTATGCTAAAAATTTCAATTCTTGTTATCATTATAAATTGTGGTTTATAATGAATAGTTTGGCATCATCTATTCATAAAAAAATAGAGATGAGAGAGAGAGAGAGAGAGAGAGAGAGAGAGAGAGAGAGGAATTTTGTAGGTGCTTTTGAGAGGGGCTTTTCTTCTCCTTTAAGAAGAAAGAGATGATGGTAGTTTTTGATTTCATGAAAAGAAGAAGCTTTTAGCTATAGCAAGGAGATGTTCTTGTTTGAACTCCTACCAACGAGAAGAAAAGACCGTTATGGTAGCAACAATAACATTTTCTTCACTCTCACTTCTTATCTTCACATTGGATGTTTACATTCTCTCTCAATCATTAATATTAACAAAATTCTGGTTTTCTAGGGTTGGGGTTTTGTAAATTGTGGTTCCTTGACTTATGTTTCAATTTCTATAGATCTTAGATTTTCAAGCTGAGCCCTCAACAAAAAATTCTATTTGAGATATATAGCAATCTAAGAGGACCGTCATGGAACCACAATTTAAAACACCAAAAATAAAGCAGGATTAGCTTGCAAATCTAAGATCCATAGAAATCGAACACAAGTCATAGAACTACATTTTTCAAAACCCTAATCCTAGAAAGACACGACCTAAACAAGAATAGGCAGCAATCGATGTGATGGTATGATGAAACTGGACATGATGCGCTTACGATTCAAAATCCAAATCTCAATTCGGGAGAAGACCAAAAGGGGCAAAAAGCTGATTTATCTTTAATATATGATTAATTAATAGGCTTTTATATAGTAATAAAGTGTAAGTCTCCATATAAAAAATAAAAAATCAATGGCACTCACTTCTGATAATCATGACCTAATAAAAACTTTCATTTTCATTTTCTTTACTTTTTATCATTAATTTTTTTTGTTTGACTATAAAAATTTCTCTGGGAAATTGAATGTTAGTGTGAATAATGTAATTTATAAATTAATGAAATAGATGAATTGGTTTATGGGTTGTTATTAGGTGTTTTAATAGGTTGTTATTAGATAATTCTGACTATGATTACTTATTCAGACAAAAAGGATGGAATTCAAATTCACGGCAACATTTTTTATAGATTAAAAAAAAATTACACATTTGATGAATTTGTCTTATGCAAAAACAACTTAATCTTAAACTATTAAATTGAAATTTTATAGTCTTAAAATTATCCTAAAAGTACTTCAAGGATTCATATGAGTTCAAAATTATTTTTATACAACCTCGTCAAAAAATTGTGGGCTTCCTAATGAAACACACCAAAAACAAGGAATATTGTTTCCGTAACATCCACGGGCACGAACTAAGGGCATCTCCAACCGAACGCCAAACGAGCCTATGCCGTCCGTCCGTCGCTCCAACTGAACGTAAAAATTTCTCCATTTACTTGCAGGTGAACAGTGCGACGCCAATATTGGCGTCGCACTGTTCACACACGCCATTTTACTCTCTCAACCGGTAAAACACGCGAAAGGGAGAAGATCGTTAACTTCCGAAAAACACCTAAAATAGTGTTCGATTGGAGCAGCACCACGCCATTTTGGAGTTCTGCATTATTTTGCCGTAAATTTTGGAGTTCTCCGTTGGAGATGCCCTAATCGAGAGCTAGTATTTCAAATGAAAAAAACGCACAGGTCCATATAACATCTCTTTTGAACAATGATCTACAATCATCTTACAGAGAAATGCATCATTTTATTAATTATTTGCTTCAATTTGAGTTGAAGACCCACTCTTCAAAAATTAAAATAAATAAAATAAAGGAAAAAAAAAAACAACTTGTGATGTAGTTCCATGGAAAGGGAGCCTTCCAGTGTAATTTTTTTTAGGAGAACTAAGAGATAGTATTCGGACTCACACACACAACACATATTCATAACTCAAACTCAATACCCCTTAGTTGATAACCAAAACACCTAAAACAACATATATACCAAGGAGAGCTGTATAGTACAAAGTATTTCCATGCTGCTAAAAAAACTTGCTCAACAAACCATTATGGAAGTCGGAAAAACCCCAAAAGTGAATTGAATTTCTTGGAAATTTGTTGTCAAGTATCAAATGGTCCATTTTATAACTAGAATTAGGTTGTCATTACAAAAGAATTGCAATAATAACAAAGAATAAGAGACGAAACACTTCTTCAAGTTAAAACTATGATGCCAAACAAATGGCAAGTGTAAAAAACAGCACCAATCCATGGAGTTGACATCACCACACTACTGTAACATACAAGTAGAAGAGCAAAAAAAATTAAGAAAATTATAAAAAAAGCATCATAAAAAATTACCAAATTTTTTTTCGACTTGCCCGAGCAGCAGAACGGTGGCGGTGGGACGGTGGTTGTTGGTCGGCGCTATGGCAGCGGCGTGTGGAGAAAGCACTGAGATGGATTGATCAAATGGAGAAAGGCCGAATGAGAGGAGGAAAATGGTAGAGAAGCTCGCAAAACGAATGAGAGGTTAGGGCTCTCTAAAGAGTTTTTTGCGACTTCTATAGCGGCGTTTAAATCCACTCGTAAAAGCTATAGTGAGTAACAATCGGGCACGACTATATGGATTTACTTTAACCAATCACAATGTATACATAAGAAAATAAATGCAACCGATGCTCCAACCATTAGTTGGCATCACTTTCATGCAAATAAGACGTTGGTTTCTAAATTTGCCAAATTGACCGAATTAAAAATACTTTGAAAATGTATTTAGATGTTAGTCCTATTCCTTAATAAATTTTATTTTATATATATATATATATATACATATATGCAAATAAGACGTTGGTTTCTAAATTTGCCAAATTGACCGAATTAAAAATACTTTGAAAATGTATTTAGATGTTAGTCCTATTCCTTAATAAATTTTATTTTATATATATATATATATATACATATATATATATATATATATATATATATATATATATATT